TCTAAAAGTTAGGGACGGAAAAGTTGTTAAACAAAATTCCCGAACATTACAAGTTATTCGATATTTTCTGTGTCCAGATTTGACAACTTTTAACACCGCAGCTTCGCACACTACAGCAATTAATTACTACACGAACTACATTAAATATGCAGGGTGTTTCTGAAATAAGTGGCAAGCTTTGGAGGATGTTAAATAGATGCAATAGGGAATGGTATGGTGAGTACAGTGATAAAAGGACAAAAAACTTTTTAGAAAACTACATCGAATTACAATCCGAAGCCGGTCCTGGGTGTGAACGTAGGTCTGCACCTATGCATCCAGTTGAGATAAGGACTCAGAAGTTGTGAAGATGGAATCAGGGACACACTTACCTGCCATCAATTGACTACATATATTAAGTTTGTGAAAGTCAAAGAATAAATAATTACTAACTGCAGTTGGCTGTAGCATAAACATCTTGAATTACTCTTACTAGTTACCAGCGGATTGAATACGGCGTGACATTGTTGCATTTCTCTCCAGGGCCGGCCGGAATTACATTTGCCTGTATTTTCAAAAACGTTTCTCTCGAAAACTGTAAACTTTCAAACCAGTAAACATTTACTTAATTTTCTTATTTCATAGTGCCCTGTCGCTTCCTGCAAGGTTGCTACTTATTCCAGAAACACCCTGCATTAGGTGCATAGTGAATATAATTACTGACAAATCAGGAGCGGGAAGGGTTTGAGTGTCGAAATTTTGGGAAACGGATTCCTCCAACGGGAATAAATTTTGGTAACCCTAAACAATAAGAAACGACTGTTGTCGGATGATCCTTACTGTAATTTCTGAGATCGTCGACTCAAAGTTTTAAAACTAATAGATTTAGTCTTTAATATAGAATTGCGTGCCATATTCAAACATAAGCAAATGTTAGGATAGTTGTTTGACTTTGCAATTCAATTCTGTAATTAAAATAGCCGAGATTCAAAGCAATATCTAGCTACTAAGTTGTATACTGCATTTACTTTCTCAAGCGATATGCCCCTTCCAATGTCTTGGATGAGCGCTGGCAAAATCGAAGGTAGGGAGATAAAAGCTCATTATACTCTCGACTCTTGTTCATTAAACATACTTTTTCATACAGTACCTGTCAAAAGTTTTGTTCAATAATGAAAGTAGTGCGAGTCGAAAACAGGCGTTAAAGCCTTTAATATGTCTTCAAATATAAATAAACATTTCGTTGATATTTTCAGTAGTAAATGGTACCAATAACAGCACATTCGAGCAATGCAATTGTAGTGGATAAAATGGTCAATTGTTACGTGCAGTACTGTACGGACTATACGCTCCTCAGCGGTTAAGAGTTTGGGCGAGAGTTGTCTCTTTTCTTGTCTGGTCTAGTGCTATTCTTTTCTACTTTGCGCCGGTTAAAGTAAAGGTCACATCGCTATAAGAAACTTAGAAGTATACTTATGTACTGTATATGTCTAATATATAAAACAAGTAACCCAAAAAAGGTGAACAGACAAAACCAAAATCGTACATGATATCGCGAACAAGAACCGAGTATGCCTTTTAATATTCAAGCAAGGGTCCTCTCCAAAAATAGAAATTTTTTATTGTGCATTTTTTTTTTTTGATAATACGTTCCATATAATATTGCGTGGATAAATATATTTCGTGTTCAGCTGCTGAATCTGAAATAAGCACTGTTATTGTGCGGATGTTCGTGGCAATTTATCTCTCATTAAAAAAGTTTCTCTCTGCCAACGCGATTCGAATGCAAAAAGAGGTGAATGGTAACAGTCGAGGTATGTATACGGTTTGCTTTTCAAAAAAGACACGCTGCAAAACAGGTTAGGAATTAAAACTTGTTGGTTGTTAATTGGTACTGCAAAAAGGGATTCGAAAGTACGGTCTGCCCCGAACCCTACGAGCCTGAATATTAGATGCCCATGTTTGGGAAATTTTATTATATGTTGCGATCTGTAACTTTCTGCAGGATGCGGTACGATGAACGAGGAGTGATCGCGCCTACTGTGTTTCAAGGAGCCGGTCAATCAGAGATTCGTATGAAATTCGTAGCCAGTGGCGTAGTGCGAGGGGAGGGTAGGCAAAGGAAGCCATGGGACCTAGCCGGCGAAAAAGTAGGGGCGGCAGATCCGTTCCACAGTAATGTTAAATGCTCCAATTTCTTAGTATTTGTACCAATCACTGCATAGCATAAAACAAAGTCGCTTTCCCGCTGTCTGTCCCTATGTATGCTTAAATCTTTAAAACTACGCAACGGATTTTGATGCGGTTTCTTTAAAAAGATAGAGTGATTCAAGAGGAAGGTTTATATGTATAGTACATGCATAATACGAGGGTGGATTGATAAGTTTCCGGCCTAACCAAGAGATGACGCCACTAGGCCTACCTTGAGGTGACATTCTATAGTACCATCCTTGGATAGCTTGTAGCTATAGTTTCAGCCCGATCTCCTTGCTAGTGTAGGTTTGACAGCACGCTGAACAAGACGCCTCTGTGGTTTTCGTAAAAATGGAAAAGCAGGAAAATCGT